GAATGGATATGGCAGAAAAGCAATTCCTCAGAACGGTAAAAATTTGTCCCTGTGCTTAACTACTTAGGCACTGCGCCATGAAATCATATGGGGGAGTGGATGTACAGATCCATATTTTCTTGACCTCAGCACTAGCTGGAGGTGAGTGGTCAACTTCACGCCCCGGCCACTTTACCAGAGCCACCGGTACCCGTTTGTTAGGAGGTTGGGTGGATCTCAGAGCCGGTCTGGATGACGTGGAGAAAAGATATTTCTTTACCTCACCGGAATTCGAATTCAGACCACTCGGTTGTCCAGACCGTAACCAGTCGCTATACCGAATGCACTATCCCGGCTCCCTTCCTCAGAACGGTATCAGGCCACAAAATGTAGGATCACAAATATAATAGAGCTATTACAGAAACAATGGGAGGACCAGATTATTTATCACTCCCCTAGGAGTTATATTTAGGGACTAAAGAAAACTATCAACAACCAAAATCAAAATATCTGGTCTCAGAGCTAGGATATCCTGAATATGAAACTGTAACTCTAACCGGTCGACTAAGGTGGCGCGGCCAAAGTAGTTCCATTTACTTAAATATAAAAGACCTTAAGAAGAAGGCGTCGACGCTGTCATATGGGTGCTGCGCGCCTTGGGCTCGAAGGGGGAGGCAGTGGGTGGATTGATAGGGAAGATGATAAATCAGGGCGACCACAGAGTTTTCAGGACGCTTCCCCAACGAAGGAGGGGGTGACGTTGACTGTTACCGTGACGTAGAGTGAGGGCTTGTGTGACTCTCTGATTTGAAGGGGTCAAGCCAAAGAAATCCGGAAGGAGGTGATAGGTTGTGGGTAACTTGGCAGATTCTGAATAGGAGAAAAAGCACTCCAAGCATTAACGTAACTGAATCCGTTAGCTGCAAAAGAGACATGTCCAGTGGCTTTAAATGTGGACACATTTCCTTTCTCAATTAAGTGATTAAATACTGGCACGGGATTATGTCTACTGGTGGAGAGTAGGCGAATTTCATAGAGTTGTATATTTACATAGCTGCTATGGAGCTCAGGCAATGTTGCAAAAGATGCGTAAAACGCAAGACTGGAAAGATGAAATCCGTACTGGAAAGCAAGCCGTTTCCACATACATTCTTCGCACCTTGTCATTCTCAATGTCCCTGCCTGCTCTTAACAACTTTTTCCTTAATCCACACCGCATTAATTTTGTGTATGACTCCGTCAGAGATGAACTAACTGAATATATGTAATATTTCCTACTTGCTCCTCTCTAAAATCGTGTTGTAGTGTATATACATTTCTTAAAGTGTGAAACGGCGGTATGATTACTTTAAGACACTCAATAACATCAATTTAATGATCACTGATTTTCCGTGTCTTATGTCGTTTCCATATCATAACACCACTAATAAAAATATGTAGGTGTTTTGGACCAATGAAACGATAGCAATTAGTTTAGCATTGTGACATACGTCGTGCACGAAAGATGTGTCTCCATTTTTCATAAAGAGAGCAGCTCTCACTTGCTCTCGTCTTAATACGTAAGATGTTTCGTTGTGTCTACCCAAGTGTTATTAAATCGCATTTTGTCTCTTTCGCGATGTTAAATCCTTGGCCATTTCCATCTATAGCGGTTCTTCTCAATGAAACGTAATTAGCCAACTGGCAATCCTGGCTGCCTATAAAGCTCAGCCTCATTCCACAGAGAGAGAGAGAGAGAGACGAAGAGAATTCAGTTGTTTTTTCGTGAATGCGTGCCTAACTTCTTGCCTGTTTGGCTCTTCAATCTAATTGTTGGAGGTTAGCCGCACCCCCTTCTATTGCCAGCTTTCCTCCACAGAGTTCCAAAGTAAGCTAATGAAAAGCCATTCTTGTGCCCCGAACACAAACCCTATCTTACTGCCCTAACATCAAGCTGTTGGTGTAGGAAAACATCCAAGATATCGGATTGGTTCAATTCCAGTCGGCTCAGAACAGTACTTGGCGAACTGTAATACAACTCGCCTTTGAGATGACCCATCTGAAATCTATGCTTTGTATTCGAAAGGCTCTCTGTTCGAATTTCGACAGAGCACCCGATTCTCGAGATGTTCGTTATTTTCCAGTCTCTCTACAAAAATAAAATATTAACTTAAAATTATCCGCTATACTTTGAAAACTCTTAATATTCATAACAAACCCGCCCCGACGCCATACGGCTTCGATATTTAAAGCGTCGTTAAATAACCTGTAATAAAAATGTGTTGTCTGATGCTATATAACTTTCACGCTAACATAACGTCGTGAAATGGGCCAACAGCTATTCGAAATTTGTTGTGTTCTTCCGTGACAATTGAGTTCCTGAGATGTCAGTATGGACGGTATGGGTGATGATTTGTTGTGTTCTTCCGTGACAATTGAGTTCCTGAGATGTCAGTATGGACGGTATGGGTGATGATTTGTTGTGTTCTTCCGTGACAATTGAGTTCCTGAGATGTCAGTAGGGACGGTATGGGTGATGACAATGAAGGACGAAAGCAACGTGTTCATGGTCATTAAAATTTATAAAAATAAGATACCGCAGAAATTAGATCTGTATGCATACTTCTCTGGAAATAAATAAAGTGAACGCATAATTATGAGATTGTATTCGTCCGTCCGAATATTTCATCTTAAAAATTACTATTTTCGATCAGAATTTAGTACTGGGACGAAATTTATCAAGTGACAATCATTTTCCCCTTGTATTTCCGGTATAACTCCTACAATACATAAATATCAATTGGAACATCACAATAATTTTCTCAAGAAGTAGTCGTAGAAACAGACGTCGCGAAACTTAAAATATAGGCCCACATTAATTTAATGTAACAGGCCCACGGTAAGTCTCCGATTCAAATCTCGTCCTGGGGACCGGCTGTCTTGACTGGGGATGTCCGTGATTTTTCTCGTCCTTCCAGGAAAATATCGGAAGCGTACTTCGATTTGGGTCACGATGGCTCCCTTCCACATTCTCTTAAAATTCACTGCTTACTGATCATCATTTGACGTCATATAATCTGAGCTATTGAAATCATCCTTAAACCACAAATTAATTAATTAATTAATTAAAACCTTGCTCGGGATAAAGTTTAGTTGCGGACAAATTTTCCAGTGGTTTGCCTCTGGTTTCGATACCATCACGAATTAAACTGTGGTGAACATTAAAGTAACAATAATGTAAGCCTCTAGAATTTAAAGTGTATATACCTTTTTTCCCCATATTTAAAAATGATGTCCATATATCTATATAAAAGAGCATGAAACGCATATATATGATAACAGAAGCCGTTTCTTATACTGAATATCAGTATGATATTGCTCTGAACTAGAAGGAGCATATTTCTTCTTGAGAGGCTACAAGTGACTCAACTTCTCAAGAAATTGCCAGCACTTCACAGAACACGAAGTTCATTACCGTTATGACAAGAGCCAGAGGCAGCTGAATCCAGTCCACATTCTCACACATTATTCCTTTAACATTAATTTTAAGTAAAAAAGAAAATAAAGCTATCCCTGTAACAGGCCGTGAAGGTCCATAGGGTTGTGAGACGTTGAGGGTCCCATATTATCTAGACAATCGGCTCAAAGATGGCGGTAAGGTTGTCAGCCTTACGCGCCGGCCACATTAATTTTATTATTAAGTCAAATCTATGTCTAGATTTCCACATTTCCAGTATACCTCTGGATTTCCTGCCAATATTTTATATGCATTCACCTCTCTCACACACGTTAACATGTGCCGCCCATCTGGTAGTTTTTGATTTGATCACTGTAATAATTTGTAAAGTATGTTATGAACCTCATTATCATGAAATTTCCTCCAGCCTCTTGTCGCTACCTCCCTCATCCGTCCGAATATTTTCGTCAGCACCCCGTTCTCAAACACTATTCACTTATTCTAGACCTCCGGTTTTCGCTGCTGAAGCTTAATGTACGAGTATGACTTTGACTTTCGGGGCTACTCGACGTAGAATGTTTAAGGTTTTCCAATGTTTTCGCAAACATTGCAGTTGTAAACTTTAGGGTTAATCCAATCACGGCTTTGCCACAAACTTACTGCCCACTGCGAGATTTATATAAGAGCTATGAAATCCTTCCCAAAGTCATTAAACTGATGGCGGAAACTCCAGTATGTTTCGAAACGTTGAAAGAGCTTCAAATTTTACGCGGCGTATTCCCGAAAGCCGAAATAATATCCTCCGCCTATGTTATTCCTTTAATATAAGAGGCTAAATTTCACAACAATACAGAACTGTTGGAAAATTACAGTTTTGCATATTTTTATCTTTACGTTATTAAATAGTACATCGGAATAGACTAATTTTGAATTTAAAGGCAGAAAGTATTCCACGAATTTAACTTGTTTTTAATTTCTTTGTGAGCGAAATTTGTATTCGTCATGACTCTCCCAAATATTTTAACTTTGTCATATTTTAAAAGGATTTATTACTCATCTTTATGCAATTGACGAGACATCGGCAAAGAGTTTTCTCTGTATTTTCGTCTAGAGCAAGCAACTTATCAGGGTCTCATAGAGCTTCTGCATTTTTCTTTATGGTACTATGTCTTCGCCCAACAAGTTTAAATCATCAGTACAGACAAGAGCTATGGGTCCCATTCAATTTCAATTCTTAGTGATTTTCACTTGACTTCCTAATGACGTATTCTAAAGTAAAACTGAAAAGTAGACTAACAGTGAACCTACTCGTTGCAGACCATACTGAATCTTATAGCAAAACGAAAACATGCGAAAGGCAAAATTGTCCTATCTTTCTTATGGTTGAAAATGTTAGTTTGTTATCCTTATAAGCACAGTAAACAACTTAACACTATAATCTCAAATAATTCTTGTGTCATCAACTCCAACAGGAAACGATTCAGTCTTCATAGCTTCAAGGGGGCCCATTGTGAAATTATTATTTTTATCTTACATTTTCTTTGAAAAGCCCGGGTCAATTTCATTTTTTTGTAAATAGAGTTTGATTTTTTCATTTCCACAAAAGTTGTAGAGTAGATCAATAAGNATCTGTTCTTATCAGCTTAATATCTGATACGTCCTGCATCGCAGGACCAGAATATTAAACTGATTTTTGGAAAATGACGGAGTGCTAGGGGCTTGCTCCACCTCTGTCACGGGTTGGCCCGGTATTGCAGTACCTCCGGGATCGGCCCACAAAAAAAAAAAAAAAAAAAAAAAAAAAAAAGCAAGCTACAAATAGACACTTTCGTGCATCATACGTTCTTGAAAGCACGAAAATATTGTCCGACAAATGCCTTGATTTGATGAATAACAAAAGATTTACCGGATGTGATATTAGGTAGTTCACCTTGTATAGCAGGCTAATTACTAACGCTAGCTAGGCTTCCAGACTTCCCACCCACAGAGATAATATTACATGATTTACGATGAAAACGCTGGAACAGAAAACGAAGAATCACAAGAGGAGCAGTTCATAAATCAATTTCTGCAACTTGCAATGACTGGCTCTATGCTTTATGTTCTTAGCAAAACAAAGTTTAAATGAAAATTGGTGATATTTAAATTTAACGTAAGCAATCACTCAGCATTAGCGACAAGCATGTCAGTGTAGTTTTCTTCCTCGACCATTAAGGACAGCACCTTTATTTCTACTTTCCCACCAATATCCTATATAATTCATCGTCCCTCCTAATCGTGCTACATTCTCTACCCATCTCATTCTCCTTGACTTGATCATTCTCATTATGCTTTGAGAAAGGTAAACATTATGAAGCTCCTCATTATGCAGTTTTCTCCAATCTCCCGTCACTTCATCCTCTTCGGTCCAAATATTCTCCTCACTCTCCTGTTCCAAACACCTTCAGTTCATGTCAGAGACCAAGTTTCACGCTCATACAGAATCACAGGCAAAATTATACTTTCGTATATTCTAATTTTTATGTCCATAGACAGCACTCTAGAAAACAAAAAGTGCTGGACTGAATGGTATCAAGCATTACCCGAATTCAGCCCCATCTTAATATCCTCCCGGATCAGGTTTGTATTTATTACAGTCGTTTCCAAATATCTGAATCGTGCCACATTTTCCAAGGATCTATTCGCTGTCTTTTGTGTTAAGATTTTCCCCTGCATTCTGTGATAAGACAGCAACATATACTTGCGTTTCTCTGCGGTTACTTCCAAACCAATCTTCTTGCCTACATCAATTAAAGTTTCTGTGTTTTTCTTCATGATTTATATGTCAGTAGATTCACATCATCAGCGTAGACCAGAAACTGAAGTGTTCCATTTAATTTCAGTACCACCTGGTTTACCCGGACCTCCCTAATGGCATATTCTAAAGCAAAGTTCAAAAAGCAGTGTCGGGAAATCATCATGTTTTCAACCATTCTGCATAGAAAAATTGTCAGACATATGTTTATCTATATGTACTTTACTATACGTTTCATTTAAACACATTTTAATCAGCCTAATTAGTTTCACGGGTATACCAAACTCTATGAGGATATTATCCAACACTTCCTTCCTACCTAAAACATAGGTTTTCTTGAAGTCTACGAATAATTGATGTACTATCTCACTGTACTCCCATTTTCTCTGCAGTATCTGACGAATGCAAAACAAAATTGATCAGTACTTGATCTGTTACGTCGAAACACACAAAGATGATCCCCAGTAATTTCATCTATGTATGGACTTAACCTTGAAGGAAGAATATTGAATAAAATTTTTATGAAATTGATAACAGTGATATCCCCCGATAATTACTACAGTCAGTTTTATCACCCTTCTTGTGAACTGGTACAATAATAGATTTCTTCCACTAATCAGGCAATTCTTCCTTATGACAAACAGAACTAACTAGCTTGTTGATTTTAGAACGTAATATTTCGCCTCCTGCTTGAATAAGTTTTGCCGCAATTTGATCACTACCTGGTGATTTATACCGATTCAATTTTGCAATAGCACTTTCAAAGTCAAATGGGCTAGGATTAGGTACTAACGGTTCTGCTATATGGATTTCTGTCTGCCTAACATCACTGACCCTATATACATTCAATAACTGAGAGAAGTAGTTCTTCCACCTATCTGCAAGCAGATCACCATTCTCATCCTTCACTAAGTTAGTTCTAGGTTGGTAACCCTTCTTAAAGTCATTCATTCCTCTATACAGGTCTCTAATGTTCTTGTTCTTACTGTTCATTGCAAGCTCATCAATTTTGTCTTCCAGATATTCCCTCTTTTTATTCCCGAAATCCCTGCTGGCTTCACGTCTTATATTGTTCAGATTATCCCCATTTATTTCACTTCTATCCTTTAACCACTGAAATTTGGTTCGTTTTCTTTGATCTAATCATTTTTAAAATGCTTCGTCGAACCATGGCTTATGCTTCTTCAATTCATGACAATCTAGGCTCTCTTTGGCTGAAATTTTTATATTCTCTCTAATAGTCTCCCAAGCTTTATTAAAAACCACATCAGCCTCTACGTTTTCCAAAGGAGCGAACCTATTTGAGATTTCAACACGATACTGCTCCTTACCCTCCACCGCGCTTATTTTCTTGAGATCCTCACGCACATACGTTACATATATGTATATACACATACACACATAGTCACATAGACACAATACGTACACACACATGGACACAGTACATACATACATACATACATACATACACATATACGTATAGTCATGGTATAGCACTCTTGCATCTTATTCAGAAGGTCCTGGTTTCCAATTTCGACACGGATGCTGGCTACTGTATCTAAGGGTTTTCTTTTTTTTCCTCGAAATCGCTACACAAATTTTGGGATTGTGTCTTAGAATCGGCCATGAATACTTCCTTTCAGGTTCTTCTCGCCAAGTAATTAATGGCCATTCAACTATTCGACGTCAGTTAACGTAAGCGATTGAGAAAGAGTCATTAGAGAAACGCAGTATTGCACGTGATTATCAACATGGGCCGATTCTAAATCCAAGAAGCCCTACCACATCCAAACAGAAATCAAGAGCTTCCGAATGAGTTCTGAATCAGAACAGACTGGAGATGTCAATGCGTAACACCGAACGTCAACGCTCTCAAGGAAATGAAGTTATAGGAACCGTAGATAATAGCTTTATTCCTGTTTTGCAGAAACTTGCCGCACGCGAATAGGGCCTAATATAGATGTAGCAGACTTACTAAAGTTTCAAGTTAGTTCATGTAAATGTAAACATGTGGAGAGTACGTATCTGACTTGATAGTGTTTAACGTCAATCAAACACGTGTTCTGGGAACCAAAAATACAACTTCTATGCTGAGCACTTTCGTGATTAAATTCGACCTCTCTTCCAAATTAGCCCCAGGTCACTGAAACTGTCGTGGTTGCTCTCCCCGTTGGCTGAAGCATTGGGTGCAATGTTACTCGCACAATTAAGCAAGCGGGGCCAGTTACGGTTCAGAATGCTTAAATTTTTTCCTTTTAAAAACAAGACAATTCAAGCTGATAATTTCTAAAAAATTTTAAATATTTATTGTTTCCGACAACAAAACAATTCTTTAGGATGTATACAAATGAATGTTTACACTAAAGTCATAAATCTTAAAGACACGACATGTTTCGACACTTGTTGGGTCATCATCAGGTGTCGGTTAGATTTGTATGCAGAATTTCGGTTTTCTTTATTCAGTGACGCTATTGTTCCCACGCCAGATGCTAGCACTGGCGCCATTACCTACTATCCATGTTAAGAAAAAGTACGTGCTAAGAAGGAGAAATCGAGCAAGTCGGTGTAGATGTGACACCCTAGCATTACAGTGGAAGGTACTTGATTCGAATATCGGCCTGGGCACCGTCTAACCCGACTTAGGTTTCCGTGATTTTCCTCAGTCCATCCAGACAGATGCCGTGATGGCACTTCGATGATGCCACGGCCGCTTCCTTTCAAATCCTTCTCGATTCATCATTCGTCAATCATTTTATCATTGTAAACTATAGGTCTAGATACCGACAGATTGGTAAAATAACTCACAAACAAATATGGGATTTGCATTAATTTCCTATGAACAGCCATCAAAATATATCAGTTGATTAAAATATTATTAGTGCAGCGGACATAAACGGGCAAACTACACCCACATTCGTACATTAATATAACGGTACCACAAGCTTATCTCGCTTCATGGAATGAAAAAATAGGGTAATAACGGACTCATGTTTGTTATATTGAGAGTCTAGTAATGGTCCATTTGCTAATATTACCAACATGATAGGTCTATGGTTGTACACAAATCACAGATTAAAATCTATTACATTTCTCTATTTTTGCTCTTATTGTCATAGTCACGCATTCGTATTACCCTAATGATAATGAAAACAATATTGCTCTATGCGTCATTTCTACTCAGTTCACTAAACTGATTACTTGACGAGAGGAAATATACTCGTCGGGCTGTGTGTTTCATTTTTAAACTGTTACACAAAAATACAGTTTTAACTAAACTTTTTAGATATATTTATATCTCATAACCTCAAGTTCACACAAGAAACAGACAAAACTTTATTAATTTAGAGTAAATAAATAAATAAATTATCGGCACAGAAGTCCATCAGCCTGTATTAGTGCAATACAATCTATAACGTCCACTCAAAACACGTTTAGATATGTAACATATTTAATGAAATATGAGGAAAAAATATATTACTTATGTGGTGTAATATCTTTACGTATATTCATTTGTGACAAAAATAAATTAGCATTCGATTTGTTTCATTCTGGTCTGTCACACTAACAATATTATGAAAAGTTAATTCTAATTATTTTAATAGTAACTTCCAACTGTATTGATGTAAAGGTGTCCCTCTGATGATCGTCTCTGAAGACAGAAACATGTAAGGGCATAATAACTGAAATAAGAAAAATCTTCACCAGTCACACTAGACGGAACTGTTTAACTTTTCATGAAATTAACATTCATTTGGAAAAATCTAACATTACTCAGGCCTTCATTATAATCAGACTGTTTCACATTAGCGAATATAGTCAGGAGAGAGCAAACTTTTCTCCAGCACATAAACCTCTTTGATTGGCTATGGATTTTATCAAGTAATTTCTGTGCATAATTAAGCATCACTCTAGGAAGATTTTTTTTTCCTTGGGACTACAGCCCCAGTGGGCCTAGGCCTACCTCCATGAACTTCTCCGTTCACTTCGG